AATCTTAAATTTAGTTCCACTTTCAACTTGCATAAGAATTAAACGAGGAATACGCTATCCGCATGATACTAACAGAATCATGCAAAAAAGATACATTAATTACATAGCTCTTTACAAAGCGCATCGTTTATTTTTATTCGAAAATTTTAGATTACAATATCGCGTCTTTGTTTTTATCACGTCTTTTATTGAAGCAGTTTTATAAAACACTTATATTTTTTGATGGCCTTAGAATTTTACATATTAATCTAATAAGATAATAAAAAAATATATCAATATTGACTAAATACATTTAACAATTTTATCATACAACTGTTTTTCCTGTTATATACAACATTCTTTTAAATCGCCGAGACAATATATTTAACGTGAAAACTTTATAATATAATACATTACCTTGAGTTCTTGGTCGTAGTCAAAATCAAACCGAATGTGTTTTTTTAGCAAGAATGTGAAGGTATCATACAATATTATCCATATATAAATCCATAATGATACATAAATGCTTCGTAAAAGTCCACATGTAAATCCATAACGCTATGTATTATAATATATATATATATAATTTTCGAGTCTTAATATTACCCTATAATTCACGCTTGTATACACTACAAGATCTAATAAACACTAACTTCTAACTTATACCAATAATTTATTTTACATAAATATTAGTAAATTAAACTTTTCATGGATTGCTTATGAAATAATGATACTCACAAAGTCATCAACTTAATTCATTCGAAAGATGCGCAAAGAAATTTATAGCTAATGAAAGAATATAACGCGATAATGATATCCAATCGATAAAAGAATATCTCAAAAGTGATTGTTTTTTGACAAGAGATTTTACTGTAATGTATTATAGTAACATACTGTAGAGCTTTTTCCCATATATACAATATTTAAAATAATGTTAAATAAAATAATAGTGGTGAGATGAGATGCTTGTAATAAAAACTATTTTATTATTAATTGTAATCGAAAAAAAGGAGCACAGCAATGTCTCGCGCTGAGACATTACCGTGTCTCCTGAAACGATTTATCAGAAATATCTTCCTTCCTCAATGAGCTTATTCAATCTTCCATGCTCGACAAGTTTACTCAATTCTGCCGCTGAGTAACCTAATAACTGTTTTAAATCACAAACGAATTTGTAAACGAATCGCTTGCCATGAACTTTAGAGATCATGTCGCCATCGTAATAATACCGAAGCGCTCTGCTCAGTTTCTCGTAATTCATCGACGGCTTATTTTTTCGAGCTCCCCATAATTGCGCCACTACTTCTGGCTGATTAAGTTTGAACTCTCCTTCAGTCCCTACCCACTGAATCTCGTTCCTATATTCTTTGTCCGTTAATAGTTCTAATAAAAATTGCCACAGCTGTATCTGGCCGCTATTAACGGTTCGACTAGAACTGGCAATAGTAATGGAAGTCGGGTCGACATTTTCTAATGGTACGTTAACTACACGTGTCTGTTGGTTTACAGTAGGCTTCGGTTTTGTTACTTTCTGATGACTTCGTATTTTAATAGACTTCTCTGCAACACTTTCATTGGACAAGTCCGGTGTATCTTTTTGTACAACAGCTGCAAACAAACAGCAAAAAAATTGGTTAAAGAAATATAAAATAAAGTTCAACCATTTTATTAAATCATGTAATGCTATATTTCTTATAAACATACCAACAAATTTGCATTTTCTAAGAAGTTCGAAATGTGTCCAAAACACATCTCCTGGATCAAGAGGCACTTTTGCATGAAATTCCTCCATTGTAAGGTTACACAATTGCTCTCCGGTAATATTCCAATCAGCCAAACGTAATGATAGTATATTGAATTGTCTAACAGCCCATTGCAGCCAATGTTTCACGTGAGTTTCCGTCCATTCTCTTGGGTCGTTTGGTATTTTCAATCGCTCCTTTTTTCCCCAAAAAAATATTTTGTAATTTAAAAAATTAATAAAATACATTAATAATAAAAAAAAACTTGTCTTATAATATAACAAATATCCCTCTACATTTAAGAACGCAGGATTCCAAATCATAAAAATCAATCACGAAAATCAAAATATAAATACAATATAATCAATAAAGAAGTTGCATTATCTAAACTTCTAAGAATTTTCCAAAATTTTCATAATTCCAAGAATTGTATTTTTAGATCAATAATTTATGTGTTCCACAATTTATGTGGCCATAATTTCATAGATAAATTCAATTACTGAAGACAAAAATTTGTGTAAATGTAAAATTTATTTTTTAAATCTATATATTTCTTAAACCACAAAAATTTATATAAAATTATAAAAAAACAAATATTGTATATAAAGCAAATCACGTTTCTTTTACATATTGATTTATAAAATAAAATATTAACCACATGAGATATGTATGTTTCACGTACATATATAAAAATAATATTTTAATTGCAATAATTTACACTAAAAGCTTTAATTACCTGGTCCTTTTTATACTGTGCATCTATCATCCACTTTATGACATTTGATTTGTTTTCTAGAGCAGTAGTCACCGGTACTATGTCAACAAAAATATTTTCCATTAAAGTAAAATCGTTTTGACAAAAAAATAAGCGCATATACATTTATACATACAATTTTCTACAATTTCAATGAAATCATCCGCTGGCTTAAGAACGTCTACTATATTGATGCGTTTCTGCATTGGCTTTATTTGTACATTAATCTGAACCAGTCCTTCTCCTTGGACGCATTGATCAACCAAATTCTTGTGGCTTTCCAACTATTGTAACAACCAGAAAAAATACACTTCAAGCTAAATAAAATATAGCTAAATAAAATTTAGCTAATAAATATAGCTAAATAAAATATAGCTAATAGCTAATCTTTCATTGGTTATACGATAAATTTTTCAAGTTTGTTGTTGATTGGTTAGAAGATAAATAATTTCTAGAAATTCGAGAACCTCTTTATTCTGTAGCCAATCAACATACTTGAAGAATTTGTCATACAATAAATGAATATTAACTTAAGAATATATAGGATACTTTATTTTCTCTCGTGATAATTGTGTTAATGGCAGTTTTTAATTTTGAAATAAAAATCATAATATCAACCACATTGACGCTTATAAAAATATATAGAAAAAATATATTCACAAAAATTTACATATTAGCATTACTAAACACTAAGATTTGTTGTATCCGAAAATAGGATTATTTCTCTTAATAACAAAAATATCAAGATTATAATAATTTCTAAAAGAGAGCTACTTAAAGGTGACCATTAAATTATCCACAAGTTCATTAAGACATAAACACATTTTACAATAGTAAAAGCATGTGTGTACAGAACTATATTATTAATTTCAAGAATAGAATTGATGCTTGAAAATATCTATACACTATCTGGGTGCACAAATTTCCATAATTTCAGACATTTTAATTAGTCAGTCTTAAAACACTTCACATTTAAAAACTATTATAACCTTATTATCTCAGTATTATAACTTTCACTTTAAAGTGATGTTAGGAGCCAATAAAGGTTGTCGAGATCTTGTAAGAGATCTAGAACATTCTATGCTCACTTACCATTTGTGCGTTTTGTAACCAAAATGAGTAATTTCTTAAATCTAAAGAGAGCCTTTCCTGTAAAAGAGTCCTTAACACGGACAAGGGCTCCCTAATGTCCATGTGCTGCATTATAACACCTTCATTGTTATAATCTCCATTCAGGGAGTTCTCCAACGAGAAACTAGGTTCGACCTCCAGATCAGAACTTTCCTGTTGCAGCTGTGCTATGAGATCATCCTCAGAAAATATCGCTTCCGGTTCCATTTTTATTTGTCGTATCATAGCGTAATCAGAATCTTCTTCAGTGTCAAAAGAACTGAACAAGAAACAGAAAAATAAATACCTCAAGATAAGATATGGATCAGCAGATCAGATTATACCTAAAAATGCTAAGGCGTAAGCTCTCTCGTTAACCTTTTCTCAAAACTTTTCCGGTAATTCTCCAAGTTCATATCAGTCAAACACGTGCCCAAATCGCAAAGTTATTTACCTAGAACAATATTCTCAGCAACTCTTCAACAAGATAGTCATCTGCGTCAGCATAGCACATTTCCTTGTCTCAGGTCAGAAAAAAACCTGAGAACGGTCATCTTAACGTTTTTCATACAACACTCAGCCCATCAACGTTCATTTTTGTGATATGGGAACTAGATACCATCTATTTTATGAAACTGTCGATAAAATCGTAGAGTCGAAAATGGATGTGATGTCATGGTGTGTGTCTGTTCTAATAAGACTTATCAGGATTGGCTGTAATTGATTGCGTTCAGCCGAGAAAATAACTTTATAAATATTGTAAAATTCTTCAATACGATTGGTTCTTGCTTTTGCTTCCTTATAGATCTAAACGTACAAATCAATTATTGTATTGAAGAACTTTATACAATTACAAAACTGCTTTCTCTGCTGAACGCAGCCATTGCTTGTATAGGTTTTACCATCTTCTTTGATGCTGTACTTTATATATCTAGTGACTTTGGCCGATATTCGTAATCCGTTCTTATTTCAAGACTGTCTTAAGTAATGTCTTAAGACGCTAATACAGCCCTCTGATTGGTTCGTGACTTCTTAAGACTGTACTTGAGACGGCCTTAGAATATAAGAAGTTCCGCACAATAAAAAGAACAGGAAACATAAAATAGAGAATAAGAATTTTAACCTATCAGAAACTGTGTATTCCACAATACATGATTTCTGATAGGTTGAAATTCTTATGTCCATATTCAGTCAGGCCTTATATAATATTTAAGGCTTCCTTAAATTTATCTTCAGATACTGTCGAATTATTTTATTGGCTGCTGAACATCTAAAGATAAATTTAAGGAAGCCTTAAATACAAGGTCTAACTATGAATATGGACATTTACTCTCTGTTCCCTGTTCCTTTTATTGTGCGGAACCCCTAAAATTCGACTATGAATATCGGCCTTTAACTTGCTTTAATTGCAAACGAGCGTGAGTTTGCATGCACTGCTACATTTCCGAGACGACTGACTTCCGTTTCCTTTTCCATAGTACTGTAGCACGTTGCTGAGGTATGTAAGATTGTCGATTCGTTATTTCTACAATATCACTCTAATGATTAATTTATATTATTCATCTTCAATCTACATCTCATGCTGTAGTTTTACATAAAAATAGTACAAAAGTTGTATATTATATAATTATTTTGAGTTATATCGAAATGAAGTTATTGATACCATGTGCCTAGATAATCAAAAGTTCGTTAGCATCAGAACATGTGGCGTGTTGATTATATTATATTCTTTAATTGAGCATGCAGTAAATTGATGAGAAAAATACGCGTTTGAAAATTTGAGAGACATAAGACTTAGAAATACTCGCGAGAATAAACTTGTGAAATTTTGAATATGTAGGAAAAGTATATTTCGTGTATTTATCATTATCCGAAAAATGTATTAATATCATTTTTTTTAATAGCAATTTTTTCTACATTATCTAAATTCAATCTTTAATTATTTCTAGTCCTTAAATTCCCATAAGGTATCCCTACCACACTATTCAAGATGGGTAGGGAGGATAAAGCAACATGGAAGTCAAATTACTTCACTAAACTTGTTGTAAGTATTTCCTTTTGTATTCATTGTTTAGTTCTATAATCTCATCATAACCTAATAGCATATAAATTGCTTATAAATTATAATTTATATATATATATATACACATATATATATTTTTTATATATAACTTTTATTTTTATATTTATAAAATTTATAATTAAAAAAAATACTTATTAGAATAATTTTTGTTAAATATTAGCAACTATTAGACGATTTTCCTAAATGCTTCATTGTGGGTGCGGATAATGTTGGCTCAAAGCAAATGCAACAGATTCGTATGTCACTGCGTGGAAACGCAGTCGTACTGATGGGCAAAAATACTATGATGAGAAAAGCCATTCGTGGTCATATAGAACGTAACGCAGCATTAGAGAAATTACTGCCTCACATTCGTGGTAATGTTGGGTTTGTTTTCACCCGAGGTGATTTGATTGAAGTAAGGGACAAATTGCTGGAAAATAAAGTACGTGCTCCAGCCAGAGCAGGAGCCATTGCACCCTTAAGCGTTATCATTCCTGCACAAAACACAGGACTTGGTCCTGAGAAAACTTCTTTTTTCCAAGCTTTGAGTATACCGACTAAGATCTCCAAGGGTACTATTGAAATAATAGTAAGTACTTACAATTTATTTAAATTTAATTCTGTCTTACACATTTTGCATAAAGGTACGTAATAATAACTGGATATCACATTTTATAGAATGATGTTCATATCCTCAAACCTGGTGATAAGGTGGGAGCTTCTGAAGCTACACTTTTGAACATGCTGAATATCTCGCCTTTTTCTTATGGATTGCTGGTTGAACAAGTGTACGATTCTGGTACTATTTTTGCGCCTGAGATTTTGGACATCAAACCTGAAGATCTACGTGAAAAATTCATGGCAGGAGTCGCAAATTTAGCTTCAGTTTGCTTGATGATTGGTTATCCTACAGTCGCTAGTGCTCCACATAGTATTGTAAATGGCTTCAAGAACTTGCTAGCTGTCGCTGCTGTTACTGAGGTTGAATTTGCAGAAGCTACTACTATCAAGGAATACGTTAAAGTATGATTTTATTTATTACATTATATCTCATAGTTTTTAATTATTCTTGAATAATATAATGATGAAAACATTACGCGTCTAAAGATCTTGGTTTACGTGTTAGAGCTAGAAATAGTTGAACCCATTGACACGTCAAGATTATTGTTGAAATATCGCACGAAAGTGCAGTCTGAATTAAACATAATATAGGTACTCTATGTACAATTGGTCGAGAAGTATTTATTGAGAATAATGAAATTGTTTATAGGATCCAAGCAAGTTTGCTATTGCTGCCGCTGCTGTAGCAACTCCAGCAGCTGCAACTGCTGATGCTCCTGCTGCAGAGAAAAAGGAAGAAAAGAAGGAAGAATCAGACTCAGAAGACGATGACATGGGTTTTGGATTATTCGACTAATACGTACTCACGTTATGTATGCTAAAATGTCTATTTGAAACAACCTTTGTCAAACAAGAATTCGATTCAAATTTTGTATCGTGTTATAAATACTTCTGAAAATAAAGTAAAATCAAATTGAAAGGATTTTAGTTTTATTTATTATTCTGTCATCTTTGATTGTTATTTATTAACAATATTAGAAAAATTTTTAGTAATAATGATTTTGCGTATTGATATATACAACTTGTATATCCTTGGCCCATGGTGGAACACATTTTTAATGTGTGATAGCACGAGCATAAAGGCACAATCAAAGGAATAGGGAACAGGCAATAGAGAACAAAAATTCAATCAAAAACCATGAACTGTAAAATATACAATTTCTGATAAGCTTATTTTGAAATTCTTATTCTCTGTTCCTTATTTCTTCGTGTACAGTTCCTGAAGCCTTAAAGCGATAGGAGAGAGAGAGAGAGAGAGAGAGAGAGAGAGAGAGAGAGAGACAGTAGGGAATAAAAGATTTTACCCTATCAGAAACTATATATACTAGAATGCGTGATTTCTGATAGGTTGAAATCTATTATTCTCTGTTCTCCTATTCCCTATGCTATTCATTGTGTTCAAGGCTTAATTCCTTGCAGCTATGATGGAATTTCATTTGGTTTGTTCGGCTTACACTTTTTACACTTAAAATGAGATAGATATATGTACAATATTTGGCACTGAAAAGAGAGAAAGCAAAGATGTTAAGTGTAAAAAGTGTAAGCAAGTCGAACAGACACATGGCACATGCTTGCAGCTTGCAGCATTTTGATTTTGATACAACGCGGATTTCTTAACCTGTAAAGTCATTAACTTAACAATTAATATCTCGCTTTGCAGAGCAGAGCAGTAAGGATCATTTATACTGGCCATAATCTGTAAGAATTGATTAATAACAAATAGAGAGGGGAATAATCAATTATGATATAAACAAAGTATAAATAATTCTATACGTTTTTTTATCAGATTCTTTCGTTTTCCACAAAAACGCATCAAATAAGCATAATTTTATTAAGCATTATTGGAGCTGAAGAAAATTAAACTAAACAATTACGAAATGAGTTTCAACAAAATTAAAGAAGTTATAGAAGATGGAGATATTGTTATCTTATATTTAAATCCAAACAACATGCATCCTCTGGAAGTAAAAGCGAAAATTTCCAATAAAAAGGGCAAAATCATAGACAATGTATTCAATACTGCATATGGTACACTAAGAGTCATATCACTCATTGGACAAAAGTATGGTTCAAAAGTCGAGTTGACTCGAGGCTGGGCATATGTATTGCAGCCAACGTCAGAACTTTGGACACTGATACTACCTCATAGAACTCAAATTATTTATAGTCCAGATATAAGTTTTATTATACATTTAATGGAACTTAGACCAGGAAGTATAGTAATTGAAACAGGTACGTCATATGCACATACACACTATGCTAATATATGCACATATTTGAAAAAAAAAAAAAATTTTATTCATAATCAATTTTAGGTACTGGTAGCGGCTCTTTATCTCATGCATTAATTCGAGTGATACGTCCAAGTGGCCATTTGTATACCTTCGATTTTCATGAACAACGTGTATCTATTGCTAGCACAGAATTTAAAAAACATGGTTTGAGTGATTTTGTAACTTTGAAAGAAAAAGACGTTTGCTTAGAAGGATTTGGAGAAGAATTAAAACATAAAGTCGATGCAGTGTTTCTAGATCTTCCACATCCATGGTTAGCTGTAGAGCATGCTACAGTTGCTCTAAAAAAAGCAGGTGAAATTTTTTAAAATTTTATTTTATTTATGAATTTTAATTGACAGTAAATATTCTAGGATGAGTATTTTAATATCTGCACAAAGATATATGTAATTTGAATTAACATTAATACATATAAGCGTATTTGAAGATATAATACACATATTACATAGTATTGTAAGTGTTACATTCATTATAGTACAATGTATAATATACAATTTTTATCCAACAGGTGGAAAACTTTGTTTCTTTTCTCCTTGCATCGAACAAGTTCAACGTACTTGCATAAAACTAATTTGTGAAGGATTTATAGAATTACATACGTACGAATGTTTGCAAAGAGAAATGAATGTTCAGTATAAGCTTTTGCCAATATTAGATTTGGAATGTTTGAAACACAAGGTTGGTATACTTTATCATTACTAGTGAAAAATCTTTAATTGCATATACAAATAAAATAAATTAAAATAATATTCAATTGTTCATCTAAAACTATATCAATGTAAATATTATATTGAATATTTGAATAGATTAATGAGATATAAAATATAAAATTTAACATGCTTTTATAACTTTATAAAATTTTATATTTTAGTATATTTTCTTGTAAAATATTTTAATAGATAGAAAAAATTTGAAGACATTGAAAAAACACAATTTTAAGACATTGAATAAATTTCAAAGAATAACCTGAATATAAAAATGAAAAATTTAATTATTCTATTATAGCACACAACTGAAGATATTAACAAGAACGGAAAAGAAAAACAAGAAGAAAAACTTCTTACAGTTACTCACTCTCATTCATTACCTGGTCATACAGGCTTTATTACGATTGCTGTTCTACCCCCTAGTTATGCACGCAAAAAAGAAATACATTTACAGTGTAGAAATTCAGACAAATGAATAAACGATTGAAGAATACTAAGGTGCAATGCGCATTTAAGTAGCGATTACTTAAGGCTCCTGAGCAATTATATTTTATAACGCCTTTATATTTATTTATAATTCTCTTTATTTACAAATGTCATGCAAGAAACTTTAACGTATTATTTCTCGCTTGTGACGTCACGATTCTATATGGCCATGGCAACTATTCAGGAGCCTTAACTAAAACTTGTAAATTAGTTTTGTTATTATCTCAAATAGAAATCCATAATTTAAAAAATTTAGAAACCATTTCTATTAATTATATTAACAAATATTTTTTTGTGAGAATGAATATTGTGATAATGTATCCTACAAATATTCTGTCAATCATAAGTATAATGGCGATGTAAAACTTAATGTAATGAAAACTAGAAAAGTTTGATTATTTGCATACTTATGTATCTGCCTTATTTGGATTCCAACTAAGATAATCGACTCGAGTCGCAGCCTGATACTCTTTCACTAAACAGTCTACAACTTCTCGTGAATTATCCAGTTCATCGAGATTATCTTCGAACATCTTTTCTTTACGGAATTGTTCCAAAAATGCTTCGCGTTTACGCAATTTGTCATATTGTTGTAAGGCTCTATCAAACAACTGAAACATAGTTATCAATATTTAACTTCAAATATTATAGAATATATTGTATTATATATTGTGCTGTGATATATCCATTAGACGATAAGTTTTGAGAATTTAATAGACAATATTCTTACCGATGATATATTAGTATGATTAGCTAACATCAAACCAGAAACGCGATGTGCACTTTGTATATAAGGAGATTTTCGTGAAAGAGCTACTTGTATACTAGCAGGACCCCAAGGAATAAACTGCGCGAGTTTTCGCTCTCTAATCCTTTGTAATGATTTGTGTACTTGTGTCGGATCCACCTCACCCTATTCAAAATAATTATGTGTTGAGCAATATGTTTCTTTTGAATATAAGGAAACATAACAAATTAACAAATAAATTTCTTAAATGAGTGAAGTTCTCTAAAATATTACCTGAATTATATTTAAAATAGATATATAACAATGAGATGCATTTCTGTCTAATGCTGTAGAAACCATCATATTTTTCGGTTGTAGCAATCGTCGCATTACATCCAAGACAGATGTTTTTCTCACAGACGCGCCCTGTTTCCCAATAATTTACAAAATTATACAGACATGTTTAAACATCAAATGTGATTATATTCTGATTAAATAAATTGTAATTATATTCTAATAATCGGAGCAGGAATATAATTTTTTTTTAATAAAAAAAAATTTTTTAATTTTCTCTCTCTCTCTGATGTTAATTTTTTGTAAATGCATCAATATACAAAATTGTAATATGCAATTACATATTTTTAAATAGAATTAATTTTTTTCTAAATCTATATCATAAAATTCATCATTTCGTAAATAAAAATATTAATTATAAGATATTGTTATAGAAAATATTATAAAATTAATATTTTAAGTATTTTATATTTCATATCCTATTCTAACAAAATATAAAATAAGTAATAATTAAATTATCAGATACCTCTTCATCCGTTGTAAGTGGAGTATAACCAGTCATTAGAAAATGCAAGCGAGGAGTTGGTATAAGTGGTGCAATCAAACCAACCAAATCATTGTTCATATACGAAGGATATCTTAAAGTGGTTGTACTAACAGACATTATTGTTGAAACAAGTTTATTAATTTGTGTGAAACTGGGATTCTGGATATGCAATCTGTCTGAAGCAATTCTATTCAAAGCAGTATTGTCTAAAACTACTACACAGTCTGCACATTGAGTCAGCCTTTTCAATGTTAACAATGAATTATATGGTTGTACTACAACATCGCTGTAACAAAAAAGGTATGTCTATATATACATATGCACATATATATATATATATGTGTGTATGTACAGGATGTAACAGAGCATATCGGACTTATATTTTGAAAAACATATATAAATATATAAACAATATATGTATATCCATATATTATATAGAGAATTTTCAAATAAATAAATATTTACCTTATTTCATCTTGATTTGGAAAAACGCTGTATGTCTCAATTAATTTTTTGGGAAATCTATCAGCAAGAGATTCTAACATAAAAGATCCCATGCCAGAACCTGTACCTCCTGCTATTGAATGGCACAAAACAAAACCCTACACAAATTCCATGATTCTTAAAAAAAATCATATTTAAAAATATAAAGAATATTCTTATATTATAAACATCAGATTAAAATTCTATATTACTAAAGTACTAAAATATAAGAATAATATAGTTACTTCTAAACTGTCACTACCATCAGCTTCTCTATCCAAAATATCAAAGATTTCTTCCTGTAATTTTTCACCCTGATGATATCCAGATGCCCAGTTATTTCCAGCACCACCACCATGTTTTGATAAGTAGATATTTTCAGGATTATACAGCTTATAACAAAATAAAAATTTTTAACTTTAATGTCAAATGATATAAAAAGAGTAAAACATATATATATATATATATATATATATATATATATGTGTGTGTGTGTATATGTATATTTATGTATATTACCTTTTTGTATGTAGAAGACATAATAGCATTAATTACTCTTGGTTCCAAATCCAATAATACAGCTCTTGGTATATAGTGTTCATCATCTGACTGATAAAAAAAGACATCCTTTCTATCCATTCCTTCTGTTGCATAATCTTCTAAAATTCCTTCTGGATTAATTCCATGTTCTGCACATAACCTTTTCCAAAATTCAAATCCAACTGCAAAGATAAACAAAATATTTAAATTTATAAATATGTATGTAATCTTGTGTTACAAGTGTGAAAGATTTAGCATATAAAGCTACACAATGTTTTGAAGATCAGATCGTTTATAGATCTTTTTTCTTTTGATTTATTCAGAAGGATTTAGATGAACTTAATGTTTTGAGTTTTGTAAAATTCCGACTTTGATTATCTAAAATTGTTAAAGTTAAAAAAATCATACAATTATGAAACTTATGTTATTTTTATGCCGCTATTTGAATTTATATTACATTTTAAAACTTATGTTTAAAAATTAATAATGGCATCATCTGTTGCAAAATAAAATTAACTATTTACTTTGATTGCCACATTGACCAAGTTGCAGAGTTATCATTTCACACGGCATTTTTATATTTGAATAAAATACTTTTCGAGAAAATTTAAGAAAAGAAATTCACAAATTCACAATCACAACCGGCGAATCTATAAACAAGCTATGTTCCGATATACACAAATTCGTTCGACAGAAACATAGGTCGCAGCCATGATATAAGACCTTAAGTCTGATCGCGTTGCTTGCACTTTTTGCATTTAAGATGCTTTTTCATGCTGATATCCGACGCTCATTTTCAGTGGCTGTGTTCGCTTTGGCGCTCACAACGCTTCAAGTGTCGTTTCATCCTTGTTGTTTATTAAATATTAAACAAGGACAATTGATGCTCATAAGTGTTGTAAGCGGCAAAGCGAACGCAGCCAGTGATAAACAGATTACATAATAAAAATTGACAAATATTAGGAGCTCCGCACAATAAAAAGAACAGAGAACAGAGAATAAAAATTTCAACCTATCAAGGAATCGATTCTGTATCTTGAAACGAGGTGAAAATTACAAAGTGAGCAAATTTACTAGGTGTTAACCAATGAAATTATCAGTATTCTAGTAAATTCGTTCACTTTTGTAATTTTCACCTCGTTTCAAGATACAGAATCGATCCCCTGCTTCTTTCCGCGAGTTCTGATTGGCTTTCGCTTTTCCGCTTTCCGTTTTTCCATCAAGATGTGAACCCAGCCTTAGACGGGCCGAATTTCAGACGCATGCGCGTCCAATGTAACTTCAGTAATGTACCTGTCACTAGTAAATAGGAGATCATTAGTCGCTTAGAGTTGAAAATGTTGAAAATTTTAATATATTTTACATATTTTACGTACGTATACATATATATAAATATATATAATATATTTCTACTATGTATACCTACGTAAAATATGTAAAATATATTAAAATTTTCAATTTCTTTGCAAAAATTTGATATAGTCGACTAATGATCTCTTATTTACTAATGACAGGTACGTTACTGAAGCCATTTTGGACGCGCATGCGTCTGAGACCCGACCCGTCTAACAACACTGGGTGAGGGCGGCGAGGCTGCGCTGAGCTGTTCTGGACTGCGTGAGATGCGTAGCCGATGCGGCTCACGTTTGTGATGCCTATGTGTAACCGGCCTTCACAACTTCCGGATTCCTTGCATATTCTCGCTAGTCAGACGGATTGTCCGAATTGTGTTATCTGTTCGTAATTCAAGGAGGACTGCTGACTCGGTCTGAACTAATATTCCAAAGGTATCTTGTTCGTTGCGATGCAATCAATGCGATGTCGCAGAATGATTGTGCTTGTTAATGATAATCGTGTAACAATATCTTTCGTAATAAAGATACGGCCTCGACTTGTCATTATTCTTTCAATAAGCAGGAATTTTGATAAGTGCCAAGCTTAACACAGTGTGAAGTACTGTCGCAGATGAATTTCTTCGCTTATCTGATGTATCTATACGTCATGTATCATTACGTTTATTATATCTTCGCAGTCCAAATCAATTCTCACAAATGAGCAAAAATCAAGTATATTTTGTCTTTAATATTTTTAATTAACAAGTCTAATAGGAATTAAAGAATCTTAAAATCAAAGAAACCTATGAAAGTCTAATAAAGTAATCTATAAAGTTTTTTTATTCCTGAACTAGATAGCATTCGAATGTTCTTCTTGCTTTTGTCGATATTAAACGTCTATTTCATTTTAATTCCAAAAATATATATTAGTTCAGTTATAGGAAGAATATTATGTTGAATCCAATTTAACATAGAACTGAAAAATCTGGGACTAGTCTCATCTGAGATGTTTTTGTACTCCAAAAATGTGAATTATAAAATATTGTTTCGTATAAAATATATATTTTATATATTCCTTTTCTTCTTTAATAATAATTATTCTTCGTGAATCTTTAAATACACAATTTCATAGAAAAACCACAATAAAAAAAAACGATATATTTTTTAGAAATACTGTTATAACAATTCAAGTAATATAAGTGCAATATTCCAGCAATAATTGTTGAAATGTTCTATGCTACATAGGAAATTATTTAATATGCTTATTCTGTTTAATATTTGGTTACTACTTACTTTTTTCAGAAAATTGTGATTAAATCTATATTCATAATATTATTATATATACTTGTGTATAACGACTTTAAAGTGTACCTATATAAAATCCAAAATTCAAATTTATTAAACTTTTTTATTTTCTCTGTATCTCTTTTTTTATAGAAAATACATGTTTATACTTTGGTATATATATATTAGGTGTTGGAATTAATTCGTAGCGTTTTTTAATGAAAGAATGTTATTTATTTCACATGAGCATTAAAAAATACATTAATGAAAGTACTTCCCATCACTTGTAAAAAAAAAACATCTTTCCGTCGAATATGGCCAACCCTGTATATATATATATATATATATATATATATATATACACACATATATGTAATAAAAAAGTACAGTATGTTTGATAAGAACATATTGTTGAGATTGTAAAAGACGTTGAGTTTTGAAACTAGTTTACTGAATCTAAGTTTTACTTGTTTTTGGCAGTTTGTTTGCAGAAAATGGACTCTTTTAGAGGAGACAGGAAAACTGGCAAGGATGAGGAAATTATGAAACAAGGTATAGGACGTGGACATCGTGTTTGGTCACAATTAGATTCATGTGTGGGACTCAGACGACCATACAGTGTATCATCTGCTAGTCAATCCAGTATAAGTTAGCATTATTTTAGTTGCAACAAAATTAGGAGCTTGACTGTCAAATTTAAAATAAAATCACTTATTTATACATAGAATCCGACTCTTCATCATCTACTATGACGACACAGCATAATCAGGAAGAGAAAAAATTTGCGCTATCACCACAGGCAGCAGAATTTATTCCAAAATCCATGCTGCCTCAGGTTTTTAAGTCGCAGTCTTCTTTGGTGCAGTCTTCTCCAGCAGAGCCTAACGTGTATCTGCCTCTTGTAAGTTATTTATGCTATTTTGATTGGATTTTAAAGCAACATTCTGTTATTTTGATTCTGAATAATTTGCTGATAGCAACCTACTCTCCAATATCCAAAGAGTTCCATACAAGACAGAATCAGAATAGCTCGTGAAATACCATCAAATGTATCTGTACCTCCGTCATTTGCGGATGATAGTACTCTAGGAGACATTTTGGAACAGCAATGCAATATACAGGATACAGACGTAGGAAATTACAATAATTATGGATATGATCAAGATGATGTAAGTAATAGCAAGATAAAAGCCTGATTTCTTTTCATTATAAGGAATTGCTTTATATACAATATTTATATGTATCAATAATATTTTAATTAGAAAGAGAAGCAACAAAATGAAAAGGAAGAAGCTTATAACTTAGAAACTTATGATCATCTCAATAAAATTATCAACATTTTAATTATGAATCCTGCCGAGTTCGCTAATCTAGTTCCACCATTTATGGACAAGCTTAGGTTGAGTGGAAATATGCGTTGCTTGCAGTTGGTTATTACAACCATAATCGAATGGGTATAAAAATTCCTCTTTTTTTCTCCGAATATTCGGATGACATTTAATTTTGCGCAAGATGCGTTTTATTCGTAAACAATATTCAGTATTTATTTGATAAAAAATTACATAGAATACTACATAATTCGCACGTTACTTTACTGACATTATATTATTTTCAGTCTATAGCGGAAAGTAATTTTCGATATAATGGAGCTCGGTTATGTAAATATTTTGACACCAGCTTAGAAGATTCCAAAGAGATGTATATGTTTTCCAAAGAGCTATTCAGGGATTTGTTGTGCTTCCAGTAAGTTCAAGGGCATTTCATGTGTGATTGGAAGTATACGATTTAATATACATTAACGATATTTTTATGTTAGATGTAAATTGGAGACCAGATTACTCGAATCTGAATGGCTTAATCAACCCGAAGAGCAACGGGACCAACGGAAATGCAATGGACTGATATTGTTTTTAGCAGAGTTGGTCGCTCAGATGGATGAGTCTTACGCTTTCACTTTAGGAGAATTGTTGGTATTGTTTATTACTAGGGTACTGCAAAGACCAGCGTCGAGTTCTGTTAAATATATATGCCAAGCGCTCAAAGTAAGTCGCAAATAATAGTGACGATAATTTAGTTTTTATTTACATTCTACATTCAATGTACACATTTGATGTAATGCGTAGTTGGCAGGTCACGTGTTGGAGAAAGATAAAAGCAGGAGTAAAGACATGGAGAATATGATGCGGGCATTAACGGAACTCGTGAATAATGGGCAAGTTGATACGCATGTAGGAAATATGGTAAACAGTGTTCACGAATTACGAAAGGATTGGGGTAGAAGCGCGCCCAATTGTGATTCATCTGGGTCGAGTCATGTGTTATTTAACGATGTGCAGCGACAATCTGATCAATTGGGTGCGTCTAATTATCATTCATCTGAATCGTTGAAAATACAGCACCAAGTACCGGAGAAAATACCTTTCAACCAACCAGTGATGTATGGTCCTGACGGCTCGATTCTGTCTGCGGAGGAAAGCGAATTTCTTGAGCAGCACGCAAAAGCTGATTTAGACGATCAAGGGTATGTTGTAACTTCATATCACATATTTGCTAATGATATAAAAAAAATTCTTTAAAACATTTCTCTACACACACACAATCAATTATTTCATCACAATTACATTTCAAAATTAATATAAAATTTTAATGATTTAAAACATTAAATTCATTTTCTAAAAAAAACTTTGTTTCTTAAATTGTGTTGTTTGTTGTAAATAAGCATTTTAATTTCTTTCATATTATTAAAATAATAAAAGAGAAATAGTTGAAAGATAATAATTCCATTCAATAAAAATATTTATTTAAGAAATTTATGTACTAATATTATTGTATAATTTACAGGACATCTGAAGAAGAACCCGATGATAATTATGACGATGAAATTGCGACTGCTTACGAAGAGTTCTTAAGAGACGCAAAGTGCAAATAAAATTCAAACAGTAAATATAATCTCGCACAAATACATTGACAAAACGAGTAACTTGATAATAATTGTCAAATATTAAGTGAAATAGTTTCAATCAAATTTAATTAATATAATGTAATATCTAATCATATACTATATAAACATATGTATGTGCAGAGAGAAACCTGTATATATAATATAATTTTTTTTAAATATAATTTTGCTTTCCTACATATTTAGTAAGTATTACCAAACATAATAATATAACTAACTGTTTGTTAATACTAAATATTTAAAAAAAGTAAAATTATTTTTGGTTATATTCGTTAACCAAACATTTGATTGAAATTAGTTCACTTAACATTTTATAACTATTATCAGACTCTTTTTTTCAGTGCAAAATTATACTCTAGCTCAAGCATCTCATTTATAAAATACGAATATCTCTTATTTGAAAGTTTGATAATTTTCAAAGAGATAAAAATTTGATTACACGACATTAACGATACTCCATGTATCACGAAAAGTAGGACAAGATACTCATCGATGGAAAAGAAATGCACCAAACACACGATTAATGTTAAATTCATAAAGATCCGCCATGTACATAAATAGTAATATCGATATGTATATGTAGCGTGCAGAGTGGTTCACTTTGAAATGGAATGCTTGAATAAATTCATTTCATTGAACGCGAAAAAAAATATTAGGATGGAACTTACATAATTGAAAAACAAATATATTATAGAAGGAAGTTCTTCTCAAAATCGTAGTTTGTGTTTCAGGGCATATGTTTTCCTTTCATATCTTTAGCAAATATTTTAAAGTGTAAAATTTTATTTAATTTGCATCAATAAAAACTAAAATATAAAAATAGTTAAAAGCTAAATTTATTCACAAATTTAAAGAAGTTTTCAAACCTTCTGTTTCTGACGATCGACTCTGTACATAGATACGTGTTCTATATGGCAAATATATGTGTATTTTGCATTTATTTAAAGTTTTAAGCGTATGTGTATTTGTACGAAAAGTTTCCTAAATATATAACACAAGTTTTATATAACTATTACTTGTATATTTGAAAAGCGTACAACGCCAATTTATCAATTCCATTCCATCTTCTTAACACAAATTATTTCTAAAATAATTACATTTTATATGTAAATATAATTAGTTTTTCATTTGCAACTGGCGAAAATGATTCTATAGACCGTTTTCTGAAATAAATTCGCATTTACCGAATCGATGAATTTTACGTTAAGTACCAGACAAATGGTTTTCGATGAAGACCTTTAAATATATATTAAATTATTACGTTCCTCATCTCAAGATTGCTAATTGCGACATCAGATTATGCGTTCTATTCACAAAAACGACAACCAAACGGGAATGTGCGACTATTCGGGCGATGTAATATACTCAGGTTACCATACTTTATTTACGCGGCACAATTTGCATTTTTACCTTTTTTTTTACTTTGTTGACATTTTTGTTCTAGATTAGCATATAACGCGGATATGAAGAAGCACGGGGAGAGGGAGTGTATGACGCGATATATTAAAACGGTGATCCGCAGTTGAACGACAAGCCGATACCGGATTTACTTCGACTACGCTGCAGTAGCGGGATCGAGCGTATCAGAACGTATGCGTTCGCGAAGATCCATTTTTGGCGCGAAAGGGTTCCCTCGTCACGGAACTCCGCGCACCAAAGCTGCAGCTGCGATTACTCATACCTGTTTTGACCAACGCATTGTACTATGCACGCGAATATGGAATATCATTATAGCCACGCAATTCTAGGCCGGGATAGACGGATAGACGGATAATTATGTGCGTGCTCCAATCGCGCTGCGCCGCAGCTCAGGCTATGAGAAAACCATCGTGTTCGCACGTAATGCTCATCAATTATAAAAAAAAGGAAACGAAAAAAAACAAAGATATAAAATACGTAGGCGAAATTTATCGAATACCTTGAAGAATCAGGGCCGTGTGTGGGCGAAATTCGAAGGGGGGACTCTGAAGGTCGCAGATAGTGGGGCTTGGGATCGTCCTCGCGTCATTTACGCGGTCGCAGGTGATCACTGATCGGTTAGTCTTTCTCGCGCCGATCGAGCACCAAGTTGCAAGCAGAGGTGGGCATTATTCGAATAAAACTGGGATAAACTTTTTTAAGTGTCTATTCGGGTAAAAACTTAATGCATTATTCATTGATCGCATTGTCTATTATTCAGTGTTATTTGCATTGTTTGTCGTATTTATTGTCTATTGCTCATTATTTCTTTGTATTATAATGTGGACATAAATAGTCCGTTTCTACTAAATTAACTTGTAAATTAAATTAAAATGTAAATTAACTTTAATCTTGGCTTAATTTACTCTTTTTTCTATGTCTAATGCTCGTTTCTACCAATATAGTTTAATCTTAATCTTGGTTCAACTAACTCATCTTTTTCTAAAAATTAAAAAAAGATGAAGAGCAAGTGAGTTAAGATTAAAGTTAATCCATATTGATAAAAACGCGTATAAAAAAAAAGATTAAATCTTTTTCTATTTCTAGAAAAAGATAAAATTAAACCAAGATTAAAGTTAATTTGTATTGATGGAAATAAACATTGAGAATTTAAGCAAAAATATTCGCCAGTCATCCTTTGGAGCCTTTTTCTAACTTAAGTTATTGGGATGATCTTCCCTTACAAAAATATAATCCTACAAGATAGCGATTAATTACTTATTCTAAGTATTAAAGGCAGTTGTACACACTGTAATGCTCAAAATAATTAATTATTACATTCCAGTATTAAATTGGATTTACCCATCTCCCATTGCATGAAAGCGAATCATTTCGTTAAATTGAAAAAATAGGTCTCGTTTTAACTTGAATTTGCTCGTTTTGCTGCATCATCGGAGAGAAGTTCTTCATCGAATAATGTTCTCTTTCTGCATTAACGCCTATCATTATCGTCTTTCTTATAATTTAAATAATTGGGACGATTATATCTATATTTACAAGAAAGCGAGTTCATTTCGTTCAACGATTTAAATCAAAAAGAAAAATCTTGTTTTAAATTGAATTTGCGTAGAACTTGATTTGCATTGAAGAATAATTGCAAAGAATTATTGCAAAAGAATAGCGTTCTCTTCCCGCCTTGAAAATTCAAGCAAAAATGTTCACCAGTCATCATCGCCTTTTTTAATTCAAGTAGTTAGGATAATTTTTTACCCATCTTTAATTTCAAGAAAGCAAATTGTTTTATTTCTAATGATTTATATCGAAAAGAAAAGTATTATTTTAATTGAAAGAATTGCGCAGAACTTGATCTACAACATCAGAGGAGAATCATCACGAGAATAGCATTCTCTTTCCACAAGTGTCATTGGAATTTCATCTCTTTCGGCAGATACATTTGGAACAGTGACAAAATGTACACGCAAGCCGCAACCTTGTTCCTGTTCCTGTTCATCACGTTGGTGAACGGCAGTCACTATGTCCAATACGTTCAGTCGCGAACAAGTACGTCCGGTAAGTTCTGCTTAATTCTTCAATAATCTTTGTTATTAGTAGTTATTACGCAAAACCGAAGCGTCCCTGCTGAATCATCCGACTCTCCGTCTCTAGGCGGTTGCGACAGCTACACGTGCGGCGTCAACGCGAGATGCACGATGAGCTTAGGACGGCCGGTGTGCTCGTGTTTGAATCTTCATATGGGAGACCCACTCGCGCAGTGCGTGCGAGTCGAATGTTTAAGTGAGTACAAATGCGATCAACGTGAACCGCGAGCATTATATAATTCCTGGAAGAGTAAACTCTTGTTAATTAAGTCAGAATTATACCGCGGAATTATAAACTCAAGTTTACACACCGTTGGCCATTTAAAAAAATTGCAACAATGGAAAAAACGCGTCATGTTGATCCGAAATTTGTAGGATGAGCAGATCATGATAGAATATGAAAATGAACTGTATACTTGATGGAAAACAAATATATTAACTATATTAACTGGCAGTCTAATTGAAAAATAATCTTGTTAATTTATTGACACACAGTAGGAAAATTTGTATTAATACATTTCATTAAATTCCACTAAATATTTGTGTTAATTGACACAAGATGAATGCTAAAAAGTAAAACAATGAAACAAATGCGGCACATATCTCTTGTTTTAATAAAGTGTTATTTGTTTCGTTAATACTATCATTGAATTAATAAGATTATTTTCATAGACTGTTATTGTTGATTATTGCTATTGATATTCATTTTTTTTTGTGTTGTCATAAAAATATTATTACCTTTTAATTCCATGTATTCAAATGTAAATAATATCTGCCATAAATATTTTCACGTTTTCTGGTGTTGTCATTTGAATGATATATCGGCATGTTATTTAACATCCTCGTCACGTTTCAGTCAATGACGATTGTCCATACAACAGAGTGTGTACGAACAACAGGTGTGTCGACCCTTGCGTAGGTCTATGTGGAATAAACGCGAACTGTTTGACCAGAAATCACATAGGTACCTGCGAGTGTATATCAGGATACGTCGGAGATCCATTCTCGAGTTGTCAAGTCGCCGATCCTCGTACGTAGAACTTTGTTTTGCCGTTTAATTTAAACAATATGAATATCTATAAAAAAACATTACACAAAAATATTTTAAGATTTTTCTAATGTGTGTGTTTCTGATTTTTTGGACTTTATGTCTTCTAAAAATATTCGTTTCTATTCTTTTCTTTCTCTCTTTCTTCGATTTAAAGAATTTAATTAAATATTAATATAATAATAATTAAAAAGTTAAATTTAATATTAATAATCCCCCCGTTTGTCTGCACTTCATACAAACAAATTCGTGTCTAGTTCCAACTCATTAATTCTCTTATTATATTATAATAAGCTGTAATATTGATAAATATTAATAATACTGATAGAAACTAATGAGCCTCTATTATCTAAATCCATTTGATTTCTGTCTTGTTGTTTTGTCTCTCATGTTCGGATAAACGAAATTTGATAAACGACTGTAATAAATAGTAATTCATAATAATTTAATAAAGATAATAACTCATAAAAGAGTGCACTTTTTTCTACTTTTTTGAAAATGTTATAAGTTATTTAAAGATCAAAGATATTCAATACAGAAGCTGCCTGTAAACCGAGTCCATGCGGAGTGAATACCCAATGCGAGGTGATCAACGAAGTGCCAGTCTGCACGTGTCTACCAGGTTACAGAGGTTCACCCTTATCTGGATGTCGTCACGAGTGTGAGAGCGACATCGATTGTCCTCATCATCTCGCGTGCTCGTCATCATACAAATGCGAGAACCCATGCAAATGCGGAGAGAACGCGGAATGCCAAGTCATCAATCATCAAGCGAAGTGCACCTGCCCGAAAGTAAGACGCCTCCGCTTTATCCATAGAGAATTACGGTTATTCTGTCGAAGGCTATAAGTCTGACTAAGCATCCTCGATGACGAATGAAACCAAATGAAACGGAACGGACGTGTGGGATCGATCCGCTTCTTGTTGTTCCAGACATGGACGGGAAACCCATTTGTCGCATGCCGACCGGAGTGCACCACCCACTCTGAATGCCCTTCGAATAAACCCGCTTGCCTCTATCAGAAATGCGTGAATCCTTGCGACGGTGTGTGCGGCGTTCATGCCGACTGCAACCTACGCGATATCACTCCCGTTTGCAGTTGCCCAAAACATATGACCGGTAATCCTTTCGTCAGCTGTAGACTGTTTGAACCACGTAAGTAATCATCCTTACAAAAATTTAATTCAATACTGAAAGGTAATAATTAATTATTTATTTTGAATCTTAAAAGCATTGTGCAACACTTAAAATATAATTAATCATTACCTTCCAGTATTAAAGTACAGTAAAGACAATATAATATCCAGTATCAAATTAGAGATTAAAATTGAGATTGAATTTAATTAATCAGAAGAAAGAAAATCAAATACAAAACAATATTAAGTTTAGTAAACTTTTGATTGGTTCAATTCGATCTTAATATCTATTCTGATACGGGCTTATAATCATTATTATTATAATTAACTAGAGTCGTATTCTTCTCTACTACATCAGTTAATCACTGATGAACCCAAGAGGATTACGAGGAAGAAGAAGAGGAAATAATTGTTTCAAAATCAATGTATCTTCATTTTCAGGCGATCTCTGCGAACCAAATCCCTGCGGTATTAATGCGATTTGTACGCCAGGCCACGACAATACTGGGAAGGAGAGGCCGGTATGCACGTGTCCCACTGGCTATATTGGCAACGCCTTGACGAGCTGCCAGCGCGGGGAGTGCTTCACCGACAGTGAATGTCCTGACAATCGGGCCTGTATCGATTTCACGTGCAAGAACCCGTGCACCGGCCATGAATGCGGTCCGAGCGCCGAGTGCACGCCTCGACGTCATATCGCGGTCTGTACGTGCCCGCAGGGCACCAGAGGCGACGCCCTGTACACCTGTAACCCGATCGAGAGCAAATCGGTGTACAATTACGGCCGCGCCTACCGTTACCGCTACTACTAGTCACACAAAACGATACCACGATCCCACGTTTAAAATACTCAACGTTTTAATACCGTAACTTCTATTCCAATTTTATATTTGGTCGTACTTTTATGAAGAATTGAACCGGGGAATAAAAAGAAGTTAACCGCCTATTCCTTACGCAGGTCGTATAACAGAGTAATAATATGTGTATATTTTTCATAACGCGCGCGCTATGCAGATAATGTCTTCCAATTCGTATCCATCACAAAGTAGATCTCACACAAAGTGTTCTATATATTTTATAAGCTGCGGCTGGTCGCAAATCTAGTTTCGATCCTTAATAAGAGTGGAAGCATAATGATTTATGCTGCAATCTTAAGATCCTTAGATGATGAATTTTTTTCCCATTTCAATTTCATTCCAAACGCTACGTTCTATGTTACATTCTTAATAGATTCTATAAGAATCATATATATAATATTTTTAATATATAAATTTTATACACATCACATAACAAAGAGAAAATGAGAACTCAATGCAACGTTATAATATATTACTTACAAAGGTCTGAATTACATTATCTGATTAAACAATAATTTTTATTGAATAATTTAACATTATATTCCATAAGTGTGCAAGTTCATAGTTATAAAACTAGTTGAGAAAATTTACGAAAAATCACTTGTCGCTATTAAAAAATAAATGATTACAATCTTCTCTTACGTATTATTT